CAACTACTGACTTAGGGATAAAGGGATAAAGAAATTTCGGAGATTACTGAGAATACCTCCTGGTTCTTCTTTTCCATTTCTGCTTTAGAAGTTGTTTAGAAAAATCTAATTGAAATAGGCTTACATCTAATACGAATAGAAAGTGAATACATGTGGCAAAGAACAAGTTTTCTTTTTTGTTGAAAATTTTAATATTTATTTATTTTTAATGATTCAAAAAATTTTTATTTTTAAATTACAGTTGACATTCAGTATTATTTTATATTAGTTTCAGGTGTACAGCATAGTGGTAGACATTTATATAATTTACGAAGTAATCCCCCTGATAATTCTAGTACTCACCTGGCACCATACATAGTTATTACAATATTATTGACTATATTCCCTGTGCTGTCCTTTACATCCCTATGACTATTTTGTGACTGCACCCCAATCTGTACTTCTCATTCCCTTCACTTTTTCACCCAGTCCCTTAACCCCCCTTCCATCTGGCAACCCTCAGTCCGTTCGAAGAGCTGGTTTTCTAAGGGAGCGCTTTCCCCATGGAACAGTGACCATATTGGGGAAAGAACTCAGATGACATTGATGAGTTACATATTTTCTTTCCTGGAAAGGTGTTTGCTTAAAAGACAAGCTGCCCAAGTATTTATGCCTTCAGGTCAGTCTCTCTCTCTAGTTGTTGGCAGAGTGAATGAGCACAAGCTGTATTTGATGAGCTAGAGTAAACATAAAACTCATTTTGAAGCAGATTGTTTCTTTAAAACTGAAGGAAAATTGTTCAGTAAATGAAACTCACACTTCCTTCAAAAGGCTGTGCTTTGGTTTTGCTACATGTTTTTAGTTACGTTTAGTCAAACTTAATTTAGTTCAGCTAGAATGAACGTAGAATGATTTGGAAATAAATTTTACATTTTAGGCCAGATCCATCCTAGTACCTGTTTGGTAAATAAAGTTTCATTGGAATACAGTCGATCTCATTCGTGTACGTGATGTCTCTGGCTGCTTTTGCACTCCAGTGGCAGAGATGTAGTAGTTGTGACAGGGACCATATAGCTTATGTAGGGAAGAAGAAACTTTGCTCTACCCTTCTAAGTTCTTCTGGTTGGTCTAATAAATTGACATGAAGCAGGTTAACAAGTGGAAACAACCAAATTTCATTACACATGTACCTATGGGAACCCCACATACACAAGAGGTTCAGAGACAGAAAGTTAAAAGGAGGTACATATCTATGACCTCTGAGCTAAGAGGGCTACTGAGGGGGAAGGTCATTCTCAGTACACTAAGAAGAGCAAATGTTCAGTAATTAGAAATTTGTCTTGCCCTGTAGCTAGGTCATAAAGAGTTATTTCTGGCCCTAGCCGGTTTGTCTCAGTGGTTAGAGCGTCAGCCCAGGGATGAAGGGTCTCAGGTTTGATTCCGGTCAAGTGCACCTACCTTGGTTGTAGGCTCGGTGCGGGAGGCAACCAATGGATGTCTCTTTCACATCGATGTTTTTTTCCCTCTCTCTCTCCCCCTTCCACTCTCTCTGAAAAGCAATGGAAAAAATATTCTTGTATGAGAATTAAAAAAAGAAGTTATTTCTGGTGATAACTCTTCTTATGGGGAAGGCCCCTAGTTCTTTAAGGGAGTGGTAAAAGTTTCTCATGAGCCCACAAAGGTCTCGATTGCCTTCAGCTCAAAATAATTCACTTGCCCAAGTGGCACATGTTGGGGAGGCCTGCCCCTTCGCTTGCAAAGCCTAAACTATTTACTCTGTGGTCCTTTACAGAAAAAATTTACAAAACCCTGTTCTGAACTAATGAAAGTTCTCAGTATCAGGGTTTTTGTGGTTATATGTGGCATAAATTGCTACTAATTCTCTGAATTATTATTCATTTAAATCTTTTCATACCTTCTACAATTCTTAATTATATATTTTGTAAAAATATTTCACAAAAGTAACTGAATTCATGAAAATTGGTATGGACTGATTGCCTAATGGACAATATGTTGAAAGTTACAAAATCCAGTTCTGCTTTTCAAGCCCCTTGGACAGTAAAATAATTTGTTTTTTGAATTGCGTTTCACCACTTATAAACAGCCTGCGAAAACCTTGTCTGGGACAAAGCGCACTGTCAGCACTCAGTTACAAAATGATTTTTTGATTTATTGGAACAAACTAAAATGACATTGAAAAGAAGCACTTTCCTTCTGCTTTTCTTCCGTTTTCCATGATGGCTGGCTTCCCTCACTTTTTGGCATTATTCCGCCCAAATGCAGGGCAGAGAGTTGAGGTTATTCTGTGGGTCATTTGACAGATGGCAGTGCCTCTTTGGGGAAGTCTGATTCTGCTCAGGAGAAGGTTTTTTTGTGTTTTTTGTTTTTAAATTTCTTGCAGGGAATACTGTATGATAACTAAGACTAATTTGATGAACTCTGTAAGAACCAACCTGGGGATAGGAATCAATTTGTTCATTCATTTTTACATGCATTAATTCAATAAACACTGAAGGCATGCTGAATTAGGTGCTGTGCCTTTAATGGTTTTGTATTCTATTACAGGAGATGGACACAAAGCAGATCGTTATAATATATTGTGTTAAGTAAAATGAGTTTTACACAGGATATTATGGGAGAGAGGGTGCATCTAAGAACATGAGGAGAGGCAATCAAAGAAGGGTACCTGGTGGAGGCTAAATCCAGATAAAGAAGTCCAGGACATTCTGTAGGACATTCAGGTGGAGATGTGTTAGAATCTCCGGCTTGAGGAATGGGCTAGAGATAACTATTTAGGGCTTGTATAGAGATAGCAGTTAAAACCATAAGAGTTGATGAGCTTTTAAGGGTCTGAAGAACGGGAAGAACATTGGGCTCAGAATGGGAAGGGCCAACATTTCAGGATCGGAAAGAGAGGACCATTAAGGTAACAAGGAAGAAGAAATGAAACTGTTTATAGACTGAATGAAGGGGAAGGAGACAGTAAACAGATAGATGGAAAACCCAGGAGTTATCAGGCATGATTGATAATGTAGGCAGCAGAAAGGGTGAATTCATTTCAAATATCATCTAATGTAACTCCTTAAGTATGAAACAATTACCCACAACTTGGTCTCAAGGCTGTTTAAAGTAGGCTTAAGCAAAGTCGATTTCCTGTATTTGTCAACGCTAGTAATTTTTCTGTAATCTAACACAGACGTGTTGCACACTCTTTTGGTATCAGGCACTCGGCTAGGCTGGCCCTGCAGGGGATAAATGATGAGAGATAAAAAATGGTTCCACAGGGACCCGGCCCGCAAAGAACTTGCAGCAAGATAAGCCATGTACCTAAATAGTTATGACAGGGCAAAAGTGACAAAGAAGGAAGGACTGAAGTTCATGGAGGAAGAGATTAGCTTTAGATTGGGGATTCGAGGAAGCAGTAATCTCTGCTCTGAGTCTTGGAAGATGGGGAGAGATGGAAGTATGTGTAAGTGAAGCGCGGGGGAGAGGAGAGCAAAAGCAAGTGCATGGAGGTCCCGGCCACTGTCAGTCTTGTGTCACTGCTCTTGACTAGGTCTGTCTCCATCTCCAGACTGACTCTCTGATGCTGAGGACTAATTTACCTTTACAGAGCCTCATAAAATATTTTGCATATAGAATTTGCTATATGAATTTAACCTGACAAACAGAGATGTCATCATTGTCAAATTACTTATTCCATAGCCTTACCTGTGCGGGTCATAGCAACGAAGCAAAAACTTAAAGACTAGAATTCTTATGTTTATCGGTAAAATGGATAATACAGGTAGATTACCTTCGTGATTTGATTTTTCAGGATGGCAGTTTAGAACTTATAAATGAATCAAATACATGTAATTTATAACATTTATATATGTGACTTAAAAACAATTTAAGATACAAGTCACAAATGTGGAGATTTTTAAAAAGTTTGTTTTTTATTGTTGACGATATTACAGATGTCCCCCATTTCCCCTCCCCTTTGCCTTCCTCCACCCAGGCCCTAGGCCTTCACCACACTATTGTCTGTATCTATGGAGATTCTTAAAGACTTTGATCAACACAATTTCTTTGGGATCTACTTTAAATGACAACTTTGAGGCAAAGTTTCAGACAACTATTTTGTTAGTGTATAAGTAGTTACATTTGTTTTATACTTTGAAATTAACTATATCCTTCTTTTAGGATTGAAAAAGCAACCTGTACAGTTGCTTTAGATTAATCAAGGATGACATTTTAAAAAGCTAATATTTTGTAGCTGCATCTGTGTATTTTATTTGATAAACTTAGAGAATCAGAATTAGAATACCAATTTTATTAATGGAATTACTTAGCTATTTGGAAGCAGTTCTATTTAATGTGTTACCTATGATTTAGAATGGACAGGTAGAAATATGAGGAGTTAGGAAAAAGATAGACCACATTTTTTTGTTGTTGATTTGGAAAAGGAAATAATAATATCTGTTAAAATAAGGTAGAATATAGTGATTTAAGGGATGCACTAGAAAATAATTCCAGGAATTGGGAAGGTAGAGGACATTGGCCCATGATGATTTTGTATCCTTGGTTATTTATAAATATTTGAATTATGTATAACTTCATTTTTTCCATTTTTTTTTTATAGTGACCTCCAAAACAAATTTAAAATCCTTTCCTGTTAGTTTGGCATGTTATCCTTGCCTCATAAATTCCTGAATTATCTAATATAATCTAGTTTTCATTTCACAGATGATGGAAGTCAGATGAAGCAGTTTGTTTAAATGACCTACGGTAAATTATAGTCAGGTCACCTTTTTATGTTAGTTAATTGGCAAGGAAAACTCATAAAATCTCACAGACTTCATGTTGTAGATGACTAAGAGTAAACTTCTACACATTAAAAGAAACTGTTTTCTTCATTAAATCATTGTAAATGTAATTAAATCTTTTCCCAAAATCTTTTTGTGAGGTAAGCAAGCAAAATAATTAAATAAGAACTCATATCATATATTTTCTTGTTTTTTTTTTCTTCCTTCCAATAGGACCAGACATATCATCAATTATTCCAGGTTTCAGAATATGGTAAGAGTTCTTCAATATATTTGGAAGGAAAACACATTTATTACTTTCCACAGAGATAAGAGAAATTTCCAAAAGATGTGTTATTTAAAGTAAAAATCCCAGCGGAGGTAAACTCTTGATGTTTCTTCTAGGTCTAATTTTTTCTTTTGTAAAAGTAAGCGTTATAAAAGGTGATTATAAAGAATAAAGGAGGAAAAAGGTCACCTGTAGTTCCATTATGCTAGTCTATTTCTTATGCACAATTATCCTGTTTTTCTACTTTGCGTTGGTCATAACATGCAGTTAGACACATGCAGATAAAAAACAGCGTGACCCAACCATTTTGTTGGTGGAGGGAGAGGAAGGAGAGATGAGAGTGAAAGTGTAGGATCTAGTATTAGTTTTAATTCGAATAGCTATTTTGAGGTCATACACAAGCTTTTCCATTTGGCTTGTGTCACTTTTTCAGATTGTGTTTCATTCAGCTTTAGAAATTCTGGAGAGTAGTTTGCTTGCTCCTTTGTGGCTCAGCCTCCACTTAGCTCAGACCACGTTGTCACCTCTGTCTCTGATCAACTAGAACTGGGATCAGCAAATTTTTTTTTTAAAGAAATGGCCACATAGTAATATTTTAGGCTCTGTGGGCCATATGTTTCTGTCCTAACTATTCAACTTTGCCATTGCAGCAGGACGCAGCCACAAACACTATATAACTGTGGTTGTCATCCAGTAACATTTTGTTTATGGACACAGATCTGAATTTCAGTAATTTTCACATGTCATGAAATAGTCTTCTTTTAATTTTACCCTCCAAACAATTAAAAATTTGAAAACTACTTAGTTCCTGCTGGTCATAATTTTGACCCCTGATCTGGAGCTCTGTTGTCCAATTTGGGGTCACTCACCACATGTGGCTGTTGAGCACTCGAAATGTGGCCAGTTCAAGTGGAGATGGGCTCTAAGTTTGTAAAATACAAAATTTTGAAGACTTAGTACACAAATAAGAAAGAAAAATAATTCATTAATACTAATTATAAAAATTAATTTTCCTGCCCCCCCCCCCTTTTTAAATGTGGATACTAGAAATGTAAAATTACACTATGTAGCTTACATTTTATTTCTTGTTGACAGCCTTGATCTAGAAGAATAAATCAGGGGTGGCCAAGGTTTTTATAGGCTATTTCATTTCACATAGAGGTGGTGCTGGGTGGTGGTATGTTGCTGAATGGGGTATAGTGGAGGTGGAGAATTGATTGCCAACCTATGATGTTTGAGAAGGGAACATTTGAATTTCCTCGGTCTAAGGAAATTCTGTCTCTGAGTGCCCCCTAACTTCTGTGTTGGTGGAGAGCCTTGGAGGAAGGTTGACCCATATGGCTTTGTTGATGCTCCAATCCTAGACTGGCCTAGGGTTCAGGAGTGTCTTGGTACATCAAGGCTCCTTAGCCTGGTTTGGAACTGGAGGTCTGTCCTATGTTGTTGACTCATTGACCTCAGTACTTCTCTTGTGTTAATTGAATGATGAGATGCCTTTTTATGAGACTGATCTATTTCTTTGGTCAGTGAAGTTAGCTAAAAATAATAATTTGTAGACTGAAAGGAAACAAAAATGTTATATTCTGGGGGGAGTTCTTTATATCAAATAGTATCAATATTGATAAAATATTTTATATCTTAATTATATAAAGCTGACCAAAGTAGGGGTTTCTAATTCTGGAATTACCTATCAGTACCTGCCAGAAGAAAAAAAAAAATCATTATTTTGTAGCCATACCTTAATTATTAACTAGAAATTCTACTACACAACTTTCTCCTTATAGCAGCGTTACATTAGACTGTCACCAGATTTACCTTTGTCTCCAAGGACAAGGATTCTCTCTGACTGCAAATGTGGCACCATGCAGAAGAAGAGGAGTCTTGGGGCCCCAGGATGTACTTGTAGTAACCAAATTGGAGAAAGGCCCAAGGGAAGGGGCAGCTCTAGCAGCAGCTGTTTACCAAGCAACATGGAAGTGTTTTATCAAGTGGCGAGGCCACACGACTGGGGGACAGCTGAATCAAGACCTGGACTCAGCACGCAGATGCACTTGCATCTAGGGTTCTGGATACAATTTAGGTTCTACCAACAGACATTTCCACTGACACAAGTGTCCACAGCAGCTGGCCTCCACTGTTGCTGTCTAGTCACCGGCCTCATTGGGTTTCTGACTCTGGGTGAAGGAAGTGCTTTTCATCTGTGCCCTAATGTGTATCTGGATCATAATGAATCTAATTTCAAGTAGTACCAATGATCAACTCCTTTAGAACAATTCTATTTGTGATTCTGTCAAGCTGTAAATGATAGTAAAATATATTCTTTAAAGTATTTACTCTTGTTTTTTTTTTTTCAGTATTACCAAAATTCGAAGTTGCTCTACAGACGCCATTATATTGTTCTTTAAATTCTAAGAGTTTAAATGGTACTGTCACAGCAAAGTGAGTATCGTTTTTTATGACTATGAACTGTTATAAAACTGTATGACAAAGAGCTCATTATATACCACAGAATATTAGCACAATGTTCTGCTTATTAAGATACCACAACGGGCAGGAAACAAATATCTATAATAAACAGTTAAGCATGGAGCATGCATCTCTCTGCTTCCAAGTTGGTCCAGTCCTAAAATATTTTCCACAAATTAGTGTCTTTCCAAGACTAATCAAGGATTTACATTATATATTATGCCAGATTAAAAAAAATTTACCTTTATTCCTCATTCTTCTGGCATGGATGGAGGTGATTTACCTCTTCTTAAATCCTAATTTTTTTCTCTGTTAATGATGGAGCTTGCATCTTGGGGAAAGGATATGCTTGTCTAATTGCAGCTAGCACATGAGTAATCTCATATGAGTAATTCACTCTCATCATCCATTTCAGAGACTGCCAGTCCACAGATGTATGTATAGTGGCTTTTGTGATTTTAACCTACTGGCTCGGACAGCATAGCATTAGGTTTTGCTGATACAAAGAGCATCCTCCAAGTTCCAGACTGGGAGTTCTGAAACTCATATATGCAGACAACAATATGGTGGTTACCAGCGGAAAAGGGGAGGTAGTAAAGGGGAGAGGGGGGGTTGAGTGTTTGGTAATCAAAAGAGATTTGACTTTGGGTGGTGGGCACACAATGCAATATACAGATGATTATCATAGAATTGTGCACTTGAAACGTATATAATTGTATTAATCAATGTCACCACAATAAATTTAACCCAAAAAAAGAAGAAAAAGAGAAAAAAAGAACCTGAAATATCTAGACTTAACATTAAAAAAAAAGTATAAGCTCAGATTAGCAATTCTCAAGAGTACAGGCTGGGGTCGCCCTCAAGTAATTCCAGGACTGATCTCTTATAGCTTTTATTTTTGGTGTGTCAATATCTATGCTTTGATTTCTGAAATTTATTTAGTTTCAGAATTTATTTGTAATAGCTGATAAAAACTGGACTTCGTCTCACTGCGGTCTCAGCACATGTTCCTCTCCTGGTGAGAGTGTGTGGCAGTGGCAAGTGATGGGCCGTGAGTCTTCTGGCAGAAACAGTCCACAGATAACGTTCTGAGGATGCCTGCTTTAGATTCTATCTGGTCAAAAATCATGTGAAACCCATGCAACAGAAAGGCAAAAACATGTCTACGACTTGTACACCAAGTTAGTTTTCTGCCCATGTCCCAAAGTGAATTTGGGTACTGTGGATGGATTTGTGGTTTAGAAAACATAAATGTCTGCATTTTATATAATTATTATCTTGCCCTCAATCATAGCTAAAGGTTAAGCCTTCTGTCTGGGTTTAATTTTGAGTTCTTTGACTAAGGCTTATAAAACTTAGTGCAAATCCACACAGACCATCAATGTTTGCATGGGTTGAGTGTGGATATCATTTTGCTTCTGTTTTTGTTTTTCAGGGCTTTGCCAGAGATTTAATACAATTAGTTAAAACAGTAGCTCTTAAACTCTTAAAATTTTATGTACAATTTTAGGGGGTATAGATCCCCTGAAGCCACACCACTGACACCCTCCTTCTCAGAGCCCAGTAAAGCCCTTGTAGATTCTTCCTGATTATCGTTTGTTGAGCCTCTTTGAAATATGAATGGCTGAGTGACATGGCAATCGTGTTGGCCCTCTGGCATTTCTTTAGTGTTCACCACATCATATTTTCATCGTTTTCCTTAGTGTGTGTCTCAGTCAAGGTTCTATCTCAGAAGTAGAATGAGGGGGAGATACACAGTAAGATTTGTTGCAAGGAATTAGCCTATGTGATTATGGAGCCTGGCTAGGCACATCCAAAATCAGTAGAGCAGGCTGTCAGGAAGGGCAGGCTCTCCGGTATGGGCTGAAGTTGTTGTCCATAGGCAGAATTTCTTCCTCTTTAAGGAAATCTCAAGTCTGCTCTTAAGGCCTTCCAACTGCTTGAATAAAGCTCACCCAGATTATCTAGGATAATCTCCTTTACTTAAGCCAGCTGATTATGGACTTGAATCACAACTATAAAATACACTTACCTCAACACCTAGATTACTGTTGGATTGAGTGACTGGGGACTTTAGCCTAGTGAAGTTCACACATCAAGAAGAGCTTCTTAGTACATTTGCTTTGTCTCTTGTAGATAGTGAGCCTCTGTTTGCCATCGGAAGTTCTCAGATCGGGCTAGTTCTGATAACAGTCCATTCCAAGTCTCCTTCCTTCAAGCTTCAGTTGCTTAGGGATGATGTCTGTGGTTGTGGCAAAGGAAGGTAGTTCTGACCCAGGGCAGTGTGATCTTTTATGTCATCATCCCCAAGGCCAAGGCCCCTTTCCCCAGAGGAATAAACATGCCCTCCTCCCCAGCTGTCATGAGTTCTGGGCCTACCGGTGCAGTTTCAGGAGGGTCTGCTTTCGTTCAGACTGAGGGTATAATTTACAACATTGCAACAGGTTAATGAAATGTTTTGACTGGCGTAGACATATCCTGTAAATACTGTGTCCCAGAAAAGATAGAAATGATGATGAAGATGATGATCTTGTGTTTGTTGTAAGGAAAGCAATCTCTGTTGTCCCTTCAGAGGCTAATCCCTCCACTTAGGCCTTGGATGCTGCCTCCTGTCAGAGGCCCCCAGTCCCACTTCCTCTCTCACCTGCGTCTTGATTTCTTCCATTTGGTTCTTCAGTGGCATCTTCACGATGTGTTTAAAAATATCTGTCATTAAAAGAAACCACCCCTCCCTTGACCCTCACATCTCCCTCCAGCTACTGCCTCATCTTCACCTCTTCTCAGCCCACTTAGAGTTGCATTTTTCACTTCTTTCCAGTCCATTCATTCTCCAGCCTCCTACAGTCTGCCTTCACCCTGTGTCATGTCATTGAAATCCTTTAACCTTTTTTCCCCCTTTGCAGCATTTGACATTGTTGTCCTCTCCCATTTCTTTTCTGTTTTTTTTCTTTTCTTTCTTCTTGGCCAGCCCTTTGAGACTCTTTGCAGGCAACTCCTTTGTGCCCATCTTTTAAAAGTTCTTGTTCCTCACGGTTCCATCTTTGGCTGTCCTCTTTCTTTACACATTTGAATTTTCTTCTTCATGGCCAGGGCTTCTGCTACTGTTTGTAAGTTGATGACACCTAAATCTATATCTCGAGTCCATATTTCTATATTGAGATTCAGATTCTCATGTCTTTTCCCACTGGGTATCCCACAGATACTTTAAACATATCTTCCCCTAAATCTGATTCTTTTCTGTGTCCTATTTCGGTGGACTGCACCACGATCTACATAGCTGCCCGAGTCAACCGCACTCTTCCCACTCCTTCAATCTCCACATTTAATCAACATCCAATGCTATTGGTTTTAACTCCTTAATATCTTTGAAGTCCATCCCCATTCCCACTTTTTTGATTCAGGCAAACATAGTCTTTCTCTCTGATGTAGTTTCTTAAAAGTTTTTCCTGACTTCAGTTTTACCCTTTCCAATTTTTCTCTACACTGCATCATCCAGAGTTCTTGCTATTGCCCTTCTCTTCCCACTCTCCATTCTCCTCCCCCTCCCTTTCCCTCCTTCCTCTTCTTCTCTCTTTTTTAGGGGTAAAGACAAATCAATTTTATAGCTCTTTTGCATAAGAATTTTCACACCATTGCCTTGAGGGCAAAGTTAAGATTTTTTAGGCTATCTTACAAAGTTCTTTTCTAGTTTCCTGTCTTTTGAAACCTCCCACCCAACCCCTTCTCTAACTCTATTCCCAAACTCTATTCCCAAATGTTACTTGTGCTTCCAAAAATGCAAAATGCTTTTTCTGACTAATGAGCCTTTGTGTAGGTTGTTTCAAGGCTTGGCTACTTGCCTTTAACCTTTTATCTTCATATGTCTCATAGCTCTAGTCACACAGTGCTGTTTGCTAGTCGACCTCTTTGAGGGGGGTCTGTTTCTTGTTTACTACTGCGTCATGGTGCCTAGTACAGTGCTAGTCATTGGAGTAGGCATCCCATAAATACTTATTGAAAGAACAAATGGATAAACAATGTGATCCCTAAGGTTTCAGTTCCAAGCTTTATGTAGCACAGCAAAGGTCTTCATACCCAATCAAAATCTATTTGGAATGAACCAAATTGAGTTGCATGAGCGATAGGTTTGGACTTGTCACAGAATTTGGAGGTAGAGAGCAGGGTTTGAAATACAGTTGTTTTTTGGGTATATTTTGAAACATGAGTTTTGTTGTCTTACCACTTGGATGGTTGTTATTACATTATAGAGGTGATTTAAAAATGTTTCATAAAAGCTATTATAATCATCTCTATGAGTAAATGATAAACAATTTCTGTTACTTTTTTGCCAGTAGCCATCTGTCTCATCTAGGCATAGTTAATGTGCAAAGCATTGCTGGAAATCACCCAAAGAAGAATGTTAACAGTCTGCTTTTAGTTTTGAAATCTTTAACTGAGATGAGTAAAAATTTGCATTTGTTTATTAGCTGTGATGTGAATATCTGCTTACTATTCCCCTTATTAAAATAAATAATAGATTCTTTTCCACTAACCACAGTGGGTTCTAGAGAATTATAAAGAAAATGACATAGCATGTGTCTAGTTACTTCCATAACTCCTGCAGATAGTAGAAATTTAAAAATATTATTTAACCTAAGGTTTATTAAAATATATTTAGTTTTTGAAGAATTGAGACATTTGTATCCTGGAAATGACATACAAAAAAAAGGTGGGGAGAAACATGAGTTATACTGAAAGTTTCAAATTTTTAGGTATTTTATAAACCTTTTGTGCTATGGCTGTTTTCCAAAAAAAGAATATCTTTGATTTGCTTTTTTAAATGTTGTCAAACTACTACTTTCTGAAAAATTGGAAAGCAGTATTCCAAATGCTTTCAGATTCTATTTAGGACAATAACTGTCAGTATCCTTGTTTTATAATTATTAAAATCAGCTTGAGGCTTGGGAAGCTAAATCTGCTTCACATTTAAATGAAAATTAAAAAATATTTGTGTCTGAGAATACTTTAAATTATGTCTGGATTTTCAAGCTTCCTGTACTATCTATCATGTGATATAACTTTTAAAATACAATGTTCTGGTATTCTAGTTATGCATCTATTTAAATTTTAACAAGGTACAGCAATGATAGATCTTGAGGACTCTCTTTTGAATGAATGAATTCGATACTGAAATTGCTAACCAAGGTTTCCACTAACTTTACTGTTATCGTTTGGAAGGGTGGCACATTTGAAGACTGATTTATTTTATTCTTAATTTTGAACATACTATATTTTACCATTGACTTTTGAGTTGAGTTGATCCAGACAGTTTCTTTTTCAGCTAATGGATTCAGGAAGCAGGAACTGCTGTTTGATTTATAGAGTGCAAAGCAGAATCGACTTCCATGTTTGGCTCAGCATTTCATAATAGACATGGACGCAACCCAGGAAACACATTTAAAAAAGGCTTCTTGGCAGTAAAATGGTTTACCAAAGATTGTCTGTCATTCACATGAGGAGACTTTCTCATCATGAGAGGGGATGAAATTAATACATAGAATGCAATGCAGCAGAGATGACTTTTAATTCAAGAAGATACTTTTGATACTATGGATTAAAAAAAATACTGTACCCTTATTTTAAAAACCCATACATAGTTTTTGAGATCCACTAGCCAATTTGTTTAGTCTAATAAGTTCTTTTGGTTAATATTGAAACATGCACGGCCATAGCGACTGCAGTTTCAACTAACATTTAAAAACGTTAAAAAACTGTAAAGTCTCCTAGGCATGCATTCAGTCAATGGGCCAGTCCAGATTTCTGGAATAAAAGATTTTCATAATCTTTTAAAAATCTTTGAGCAGGACACTTATGACCATATTTTCTCTGGGGTCTCTGAAATGGTTAGAGTCTAGGTAAAGTGTGTTCTAGGAACTGTTTTGAGATGTTGTAGTTCAAAGTCTTCCCATTTTGGAGATGTAATTTCAAGGATCACCATTTATTAAGGACATTCTTAGCTATTAAGGACATTCTTAGCTTGTTTAGTTTTGAAAATTTGTAGTAAGAGTTTGCTTTAATAAATTTTTTTAAGCTGGAGTGCCAGTGTATGCTATTGAAAGTAGTATTTTTGATTGTGTTAGTTTGATAATATCAAGTTGAAAATGTAAAAAACCCCACCCATTTATTATTTTTCAGGTATACATATGGGAAGCCCGTAAAAGGAGATGTAACACTTACATTTTCACCTTTATCTTTCTGGGGCATAAAGAAAAATATTACAAAAAAATTTAAGGTAACTTTTATAGATATCTTATAACTTGTAATGGGGAAAACTATAAGCATACTTTTTCTAGAAACAAGATTTGTACTGAATTAACACAAAAATTGAGTGTAAGGAAAAAAGAGCTTTCTGGCACTGGACAAGTGAGAATTTACCTTTTTATAGTGATTACAATAGAACCAGAGCCATCATATTGTTTGATGTGACTTAGTTTGAATTTTATTTCTAAAATTTGAATTGCTAAAGTGAAGAATAAAACTGAAAATTTCTAATCAAACAGATAAATGGATCTGCAAACTTCTCTTTTAATGATGAAGAGATGAAAAAGGTAATGGACTTTTCAGATCGGCTTCCTGAACACATGTCTCTGTCTTCCCCTGGGCCGGTAGAAATTTCAGCCACAGTGACAGAATCACTTACAGGTTTGTAGACTTTGAAGTGAAGGGTAAAGCTACTTAATGTGGTGCTGCTCTGTCATCTTTCTTGTTACAACTGGCATGTTTATTTGGGAACATCACTGCTTGACTAAAGATACTGTTTAGTGCTGAAAGAGGGCATAGAGGGAAGTGGTGATGGAAAAAATAAAATAAAATAAAAAAACTAAAAAATGTTGAAATTGTCATGACTGTTCTTTAGTCCAGTTTGCAGAATGTTTGCACCATGAAGGGGAAATTTGTTTTCTATAAAAGTCTGCACTTCAACCACATGTGATAGATAGTTGTAATTTTTTCCATTTCTATTCTTTAATTTTCAGGCTGAAAACTACATGGAAAGGCTTACCTTTTCAGCTGACTAACCTCCCCCTCCTCCTTCCCCTTC